TCCTTTCAGGAAATGGGATCATCATTCTCATAACCAAAGTGGACCCAGCCCTTCACACTCCCATGTGATTTTTTTTCTCAGAATTTTTTCTTTCTTATAAATTTGCTATGTGTCTGACTCCCTGCCTAGAATGCTGACTGACATGTGGACACTGAAAGGGAATATTTCTTGTTTGCCTGTGCTACACAGATGTATTTTTTCCTTGTGCTTGGAGGAACTGAGTGCCTCCTCCTGATTGTGATGGCCTATGACTGCTATGTGGCCATCTGCCACCCTCTGCAGTAACCCCTCATCATGAATCCCAAGCTGTAGGAAGCTGGTGGCCACCTCCTGGCTCATGGGAATCCTGGTCCACATAAGATAGACATTTCTGATTTTCTCCCTGCCGTTTTGTAGATCCAAGCAAATCAATCACTTCTTCTGCTACATCCCTTACTCAAGCTGGCCTGTGTAGAAGCTTTCATAAAGGAGATGTTGCTCTTTTCAGTTGCCATGGTGTTTATCATGGCCCCTTTTCTGTTCATACTCGGTTCCTACAGTAAAATCATCTCCACCATCCTGAAGTTGCCCTGAGCCACAGGGCAAGTCAAAACCTTCTCCACTTGCTCCTCTCACATCGTAGTTGTAGCTTTGTTCTTTGGATCTGGAATCATTACCTATTTCTGACCCAGACATGAACAGTTCTCCAGCACAGATAAACTTCTTGCTCTTTTCTACCTTATTCTCATCCCAATGTTCAAGCCTATGATCTACAGGCTGAGGAATAAAGATGTCATGATGGCCTTGAGGAAACTGCTAACTAAAGTTTAATACATGTGCTGAGGATTTGATCTTACTTACTGGTTTCTTATTTAATTCTGCAATTGTATATAAGAAACTTTCCTGTGGTTTACTTTCCTGGCCTACTAATGATTCCTTTTCCTCTTTTCTGAGGTTATTCTCTTATGCTGGGCTTCTCATGCTAAGGTTGTATTTACCAGAATTTTGCCAATAAAAGACAAGTTTGGAACAAATCTCATATTTTGTGGTCTAGTCTACTCGCAAATTAATTAGTGATTTGAGAATGTGTGAAAAACTGTGCAATTGCTTACCTCCTAGTTGGTGTCTCATATATTTTTCTCTACAAACGAAAATGTATGCTTTGTTGTTTTCATTATATGGCTATTACTTTCCTAAAGTTATCACTGCAGTCAAAAGTACTAGATATGGTACTTGGAAAACATTGGTTGAAAAACTATATAACTATTTCTTATATTTTTAGATGTTTTACCTTTTTTAAGAAAGAAAATTCCTCTTCATTACTTAGTTAGAGAATACCTAGGAAAAGTTTAAAAATTTAGACTCCACAGATGACACTGTGTGGATTGGAAAGTATGGTAATGAATCTTCAAAGTGTTTCCATTCCCTAAAATGTGACAG